TTACAATCATGAAGCATGAAACTTAAACTGAATACAGAACAGGAAAGAAAAAAATTGCAACCAAATGTTCCTATTATAGGAAAAGGGACTAATATGGGCGTTCAATTGGGAAAATGGAAATATTAGAAGCCTTTAAGGCTTTTTATACAAAGAGAAAACAAATATCACCCAAAAACATTAACAAATTTCATACAGCAACTCTGTACTTAAACTAACTCTTTACCCAGAAAAAGGAAAAGCAAAGAAAAAGTAGAGCTATACTAATTATTTCTCTGCTAAAAAGACAATCATATTAGTAATGTATATACCCTAAATGCTTCATAGCTTTATCTCTTAATTGTTCCCCCCTGAAATTTGTTGACTTCATCCATTATGCACAACAAAACAGAATAAATAGTTTAAAGAACAAAACTAATATCAACTAATGAAAACAGGAATAGTGGCTGAATTTACGTTCTATTGCCAAATCACATATCAAATGGATGCTTGGTAATAAACCAAAATGAAGCTATTGATCTGCAAAACAGATAAATAAGTTTAACCAAACAAACGAACAATATATAGCAGTTACGACAATCACAACAACCAATACCAATCATGAACATCACATTTGAACCATACACTTACAGATTTAGCAATACAATCTTTGAAATGGTAATGGCAACCGAAGACACTTCACCTATAAATAAATAAAAATTCATGTCTTCTTCTTTCTCGTGAACTCTTATTTTTTCTTACCGAACATACCAAAATTTAAATTTATCAAATGAACGCAACATACTCAAAGAACGAAACCTTAATTGTTACTAGATTGTTAATGGGTAAATAACTCAATGACATAGCATTCGAGTCAAACATTTCTTTAAACATCACACTATCGCTAATTGCATACAGGGGGTCAAAAATTGCATAAACTGTATGCAATTGCACAAAAACTATATGCAATTGCATATAAGAAATAATATAGCAAAACAATGTGTTGGATGTTAATACTGGTATTAAAATTCTATAGCTAGGAAAGCACCTGCTCTGACAAATGTGTCTTGCAAAAGTTAACCATCAACCACTTGGATTGAAGAAACCAAAACCAGTTATGAGGTTTCTCAGTTAAAGAACTCATCTTTCTCTTTTGATGCCAACCTCAATTCTCCACTAACAAGCCCAAAAACTCCAATTGGATTCATCATGACCAGAGTTCTTGAGTAATAAAACAGATCTGAAATTGAAAAAAAAAAAAAAAAAAAAAAAAAAGAAAATGTGAAGAAAATCCAAGAATCCATTAAGATAAAATCAACAACCTGATTGTTCAAAATCTTATTTTGAAACACAAATCCATAACCTCATACATGGAAGAAAACAAATCCTCCATAAAATGAAAATTACATGGGTTTGATGGAGAAAGGATCACAGTGGGTCTGATGCTGTGATGAAATTAAAAGAAAATATTAAAATATTAATAATTATTAAAAGAGGGAAAAGAAAAAATCACCAAGATTCAGTCCAAGGCGTTGAATTTTTTCTCCCATCAAAGGCTCTGCAACACAGACATCCTCACTCCATATTCAACACTAAGTCGTTGAATTTCTACTCAAATAAAGGCCTTCCACACCACCCCCGTCGAACTCGACTGAATCACCCCACTCAATCTCCTCTCTGATGGTTCTTGCATCACGGTGTCGGCAGAGAGGAGATGCTCAGATTCCGACTTGGGGACAAAGATGAGGATTGGATTTGAGAGAGAGAGAGAGATATTGCAAAGATGAAGCAGCTCCAGTGCACGTGACTTTAATAAGAAAGGAGTGAACAAGTCATCAGGTCATTCAATCTCAACCCTTGATTTTTAAAATGAAATATGAACCCTTAGATGAGTGGCTGTACCGGTACAGCCGATGCACCACAGAATTTTCGTGTTAATTTAACGAGTGTTGTTATTTGTGTCATATTAACTGAACATTTTGTGAGTGTATTTCAAATAAATACATTACCAACATAAAATGAATCCTGCATAAATGGGTATGGCTAATTATATCCCCCTAATTAGGTATATATTTTTATGTTTACTAATGAAATTCACTCATACCATCTAGTTTAGTATGTAAGTTTTGCCCAACCGGGTTTTGAATTCTAGAATCGCCGCTTACTTCGCTAGTATCGATTTTGAATTCTAGAATCGCCGCTTTACATTTTGTGGGTGGCTCAGTTGCTGCTGCTGCTGAGATTGCCCCGAAAACTGGTGAGAAGGACATGTCCAATTTTGCCGCGGACCACAATGGATATGCCACAAGGATAGTCGTCAATACTTGGCCCCCATTTTCAATGGTTTTTCGCATGTGAACCAACCACAAACGTTAAAAAGCAATTAAAGTTATTTATTACCAGGATTATCAAGTCTCTTTTACCAAAGAGTGTTGCTAAATGAACTCTAAAATTAACTGAGTACACCTTATAATTTAAGTACACTATAATATTTTAATTAAAATGTAAAATTAACTAAGTACACTTCATTTAACTACTAAAAATATCCTTGGTACACCCTAATACATCTATCACACAACACCCTAATACCAATCCTAAATCAGGTTTCTCTTTTTACATTAATTTGTACCCTCTTTTCAGATTTTGGGTTTGCATCAAAATCTTTAATTTCGTAAGCTGTTGTGGGAGTAGATTTGCTAGCTCCTTCCATTCAAAGCTTGATTCTTGTAAATTCTTGTGATTTTTATTTATTTATTTATTTATTTTTGGATTAAAGTTATTGCCCTCCAAATATGTTCTATCATCTTATGAAAGTTTTATGGGTTCCTTTCTTTTTTTCTGGGAAGAATGAGGCTCGATGTAGAATACAAGATCCTATCTATGGTTGCGTTGGGGTTATTTCCCAATTACATCAACAAATAGAAGATGCAGAATATTAATTAGCTAAAACACGAGCTGAAATTGCCCTCATGAACTCTGATGATGGACAAGAACCTCCTCAAGCTCAAGTTGACCAGCAGATTGAAAGAGAATTCCCAACTTAAATTTCTTGCAGCAACAAAGCAATGTTGGGCCGACCCATTTTGGTTCTTCCTCCAAAATTTCTTACTTCTTTTTTGGTGAAAAAAATTCCTTACTTTTTTTATTGATATGGTTTTGTATTACAAAAAACAAGCACCAAGCAATACGAAAACTTCTCTACGTTTGATTAGGGTTGAATATGGTGAGTAGGGTGTATTTATTAAAATTATATTTGTTCCACAATTCAATATATCATTTTTTTTCATTTTATATTTAGTGTAAATTAATAATTCAAGAAATAGTTTAATGGTATAGTGTACTCAATTAATTTTAGAGTTTGTTTAACAACTCTCTTCACCAAATATATTGCAACACTATCTTACTTGAGAAAATTTGATGAAGCTCATAACTTGTCAAAACTTTCAAGAGAAAAAGAAAACCTAAATCTTAAACCTGTACAGTATTACCACATTATTCGATAGCGATTTGTTTTCGGAATGGTTATGTAGGAAACCTTTTTTTGCGCAATAGCAGTTTTACTAGTAGCAATACGACTAAAGCACATAACATTTTGGGGGTAACATCATAACCACATTTCAACAATTTAAAAAATTACTGGTGTTAGATTAAAAGTGTAATAAAGATATTAAAAATTCACCCAACATAATCTCACTCTTATTTATAAATAAGAGTTTTTATTTTTAATTGAGTACGACCCATTCAAGATAAAAAAATATCTCTTAATTTTAATATCTTAATAAAGAGAAAACCCTTTGATTCCAATATGAAGAATGAAATAAATAATGGAATTTGATTTGATGTTACGGCTGCATCCAGGAAACCCTAAATTGCCTACATACCCCATTTTGGGGATCAAGCATTTTGTAGTTCTCAAGAGAATTTGATTGGACTTTCAAGGAATGAATGATCCCTTGAAAAAATTTGTGATATGAGAAATATTTTGTGGGATTTGGATGAATGTGGCTGGACCAAGGATTCAATTTGATTTTGTGGTTGGAAAAGTGTTTGGGGTGAATTTGGTTAAGATACACCAGGGATTCTGTTTGGACTTGCAGTTGTATTTGGATTGAATTTCTAAATTGCCTACGTATCCTTGGCGGAATCAAACCAGACGTAGTTCCTTGAAAAATTAATGGGTATGTATGGCCCACTAATTGAGAATTTGTGTTCGAGAGATTTGAATTTGATCTCATTGAAATTTGCACAGGTAGATGACCCATGAGAAAATTTGGAATGGTTTTGTACCATTTTTTATTGTCAATGTCCAAAGAAAATTCACAGGCATTTTAATGAGCCTATTAATTTACTCACATATGGTTTTGAGGATTTAAAAATTAATCCATTAACCACGTAATTTACTTGGACCATCCATTAAATATTTTGGACTTTTGAGAGTTTAATGGGTAATTTGTTTTGTCAACCCATCAATTTGTTTACGGGCCTTAATATTTCCATTAGTTGGCCCATAAACAAAGAGTCCACGTCTGAGAGCCAGCTACCAATTGAAACCAAAACCAATACAAAGCTTTGAATTTGAGAAACCAAAACCAAAGAGAAGTCAAAACAAGGTTGGTCCTTTCCTTTGCTCCCTTCTGTCAGAGTTAGACCATGTAGTCTATTAAACTAGTAATTGAAAGTCATGGAATTTAAAGAGGCCACGTCTGTTTGTACAAAGCTTGTTTTGCTACTTTTTTGGTTTTTTGTGGTTTTCTTCTTCCTTGCTTTTTTTTGTTTCTTTTTCCGTGCTTTGCTTATTTCTTCTTGCGAGCTTTCTCCCTAAGCTCTTGTTGTTTGGCTTTCAATTGCTCTAATGTGAGAGAAGGTTTTGGAGCCTCAACTTTGGTGTTGACTAGTACTGATGGCATTATGTTTGGATTATTTTCATGTTCCACCACCCAATTGGCTGTAGCCTCCAAGCTAGCATAGTGAAGTGCACGAGTTGGGTTTCATAGAGAGAAGAGAATTTTCAAGGCCATATGGCCTCAAAGTGATGCAGTGTATTCAGACGAGCCTTTACATGGCTCCTTTACGTGGCTCCTTTGCCATATGGCCTCAAAGTGATGCAGTGTATGCAGTGTATTCAGATTGTCCTTCACTACCGAAATTTTGACCTCGCCCATTTGCTCCCAAGATTTCCTCAATATCCCCTTAATTGCGCCTTGGTTAGGGAATTTGTCAGTCATAAGGACACCAATGAGAGGGATTCCATTGCGTACCTCTCCCAACCCAAGATTGTCTTCAAGCTGTATAACGAGTTGTGTTGCGTCATCTTCCATGGTGGACATTCGAAACAGGCCCCTTCTTAGAGCACTTCCACCAGTTAGCCCCTTGCCATGGCAAGGGGAGCCCTAGGGCGGGTACTATTCACGTGAATAGTGGCTGCCCTAGGGCAAAAAAAAATTTGTGTTTCCAGCAATACAAGGCTTGCCATGGCAAATACTATTCATTTTTTTTGTTTTTTTCACAACTTTGTTTACTTCAACAATTAATTTGTATAATATTTTCGGATAAGATTTTTGGGTTCCTATGTATAAAAAATCATTTTCTCAAGATTTTTAGCGGAGGTGCAATATTGACTAATTATGAAAAATGGTTTTTCAAAATAATCATTTTCTCAAGAAAATTTTTGGCGGCTTTTATTCCTTACACATCAAATAAGAAAACTTGATTTTATGGGATTTTAATATGAAGTATATATTGACTTAATGAGCCATCATTTTTAGCCTAAATCGTATTTTGCACTAAAAACGATTTTTCATATTTTGATTTGGTGGGAATTTGATTTTCTAGTATTTTTATTTGAATCCAAATGGGGGGTACTTCCTTATTTACATTGTAAACTTAAGTAAATGGAGTAATATAAAAATAAATAAAAGTAAAAGGACAAAGACATTTACTTAAATGTTGAAAATGGAAATAAGGTATAGAGAGAAAAAAAAATAAGTAATTTTTTGGTTTTTTTTTCAATTTTTTATTACAAAAATAATGGTTGTTGGTGTTAAAAGTGAAGAGTATTGGTTGGTATTTATAGAAAAAAAATTCAGTATTTTTTTCGTATTTTTTTAAATTTTTTCGTATTTTTTTCATTTTTTTATTGGGCAAAAAATTACCTGCCGTTGGATTGCTAGAAAAAAATGATCGGAGAGCCCAGGAGCTTCCACGTGGCATAGAGCCGTTGGGTGTTGCTTTTTGGATTTTTTTATTCGCGAAAAATTGGCTGCCGTTGGATAAGTTTAAAAAGCAGATCGGATGGCCCAGCATGCGACACGTGGAATCATGTCGTTGGGCGGCTACTGTAGCGCGCGTCAAATTTTTTTTAAACCGGGCGCGTGTATTGCACGCGCCAGCTTTAAAAAAAATTAAACAGCAGCGCTGACGTCATTGTGACGTCAGCGCGCTGAGGTCATCCCAGCCCGCGGGCTGGAGCTCGGGCCAGCCTCCCCCTCGAGCTTGTGGGCTCCACTGTTTGCCCTGGCAGCTTATTGTTGCTGGAAACCACCCCCCCCCCCCCCCCCCCCCCCTTGGGGTGGCAGTGGCTCTTAGTGTGTGGAGCTAAGGAGGGCACAAGAGAAGGAAGTGGAAAAGATTCTGCCTTTGATTGCTCTAGGAGGGGAAAGAGCTTTGGGGGATCATAGCTCGACAAAGATTGAAAGACAGAGGAGGAGGACCAGAATAAAAGCAGGCTTGGTAATGATGACAGCAAGTTCGAGCGCACAGGTTTAATGATGGTGTGAGGGTTCAGGTAGAGAGAGATAGTAGCAATTTAGGACAAATACCACTCTGAAGGGTATGGGTTTCTCATCCTTTAGATCATCTCCAACCATGTTGGGGCTAAACTCAAATTTTCACCCTCCAAAATACAACTATTCATGTATTTTCAGGACTCAAAATTTTTTTTCCTCCAACCCTGCAGACTCATAATTTGAGTCCGCAACTTTATTAAATTGTTTAAGAATGATTAACCCATAATTTTTTTTTCTTGTTAATTTTTCTTGACATTATTTTTGTTTCAATACTCGTGATTTAATTTTCTAAACATTTTAACCTAAAAAAATTAAAATTCCAAAACATAATAGAATTTCACTTAAAAATAAAAACAAGTACAACACCATACGTATGCCCGGAATGTAGAATGAAAAATTATAACAAAAGGAGAAAGGAAAAAAATGATTTTTGGTGGATTATTTACCAAATGAATGATTATTTATAGAGTTTGGAATAAATTTTGGGGTTAGATCTGACTTAGATTAATTATAAATATTAATTTAACCGTTGGATGTGAAATTTTACTGTTGAGATTGCCTAAAATGAATCTGAATCATTGATTATCCAAATATGTATGGAATAAAAAAAAAAAACAAAAAAAAAAAAAAAAAAAAATAACAAAACATACCAAAAATAGCTGTTGCTTTTCAATAAACTAGAGGGAATCTTCATTCCCACTTGCCAGCAACACAGCCCACGCGATGGGCTTCTCACATCATGCAATAAAAAAATATTTATTAAAGCAGAATTGGGCCCCACAGATTTATCAGTCCAAGCAGAATTCTGGGTGGAATTTCAGTCCAATTTTGAGGCATCTCAAATTTTCACCTCCCAAAATACATGGGTTGGAGATGGTTTTTGAAAGCTAAACTCAAAATTTGAGTTTCCACCCCAAGGGTTGGAGATGGTCTTAGGAGAGAAAAAGTATATCTCCTTTTTAATTTCTAGAAGAAACAATCAGCAGCCTTAAAGATCAACCTTCACGTCTTGGGCTTTTATCCTGGGCCCCTTTCCTTGTCATGTAATTTTTTGTGTTCAACAACTGGTATTTTAAAATTCAAAACACGAGTATTAACTAATACATGGTATAATATGTTATACGGGGGAATTGGTTATAATATGATTACAGATATGTCATTTCTGAAGAGGTGACTAACACCTTTCCACTTATATCTTTCAAATGAGCTGAGACTACTTGACCTAAATGAGCATACTAGAAACGTGGTTAAATGGACCAAGACGAAGAACGAATCTATATTATATATACAGGTCTATTACAAGCTTGTCATGCAGAAAAGTAGACAACTGAGGACGTGCTGCTAACAAAAAGAATCAATGTACTTGAGCTCTACCACAAAAGGTTGAATCTTCAAAATGTCAATTTTTTAACTTTTTTTATTTGCTGAATCTTCAGAAGGAGGGTGAAGAGGTGGGGAAGGGGCTGGTGGCTAGGGTTGCTGAGGGGGTGGGGCTGCGTGGGGGGGAAGAGAGAGAAGGCGAGAGAGTTTTAGTTTTAGTTTTTTATTTTTTTTAAATGTTATTTTTTTATTATTTTACTTTAACAATTGAAGGCTATTTTAGGAATAATGGTGGGTGGAAAGATAGGATTGTATTTTTTGAAATTTACATGGTCAGTGGGAAAATAGGTCAGGGGGTAGAAATAGCAACACTCATTACAGTTCAAGTGCCTATGGTCAATTTTTTTTTTACAACATTTTGATTTTTTTTAGCTTAATTACACATACAACTTTATATCTTATGTATAAAAACAAAACACCAAGTTATATCAATCTTTTAAGTATTTCATTTTCTAAAACCTGCATTTATATACTTTTTTAACCTAATGGTCATGTGAAACGAAACGAACCTTGAAGGTTGAAGCCAATACCATCAACCTAACAATCTTAACAATTCTTTGACAAAAGAAAAAAAAATAGTCTTGATGATTTCAAGCACATAATCTTTTCTTGCTCTTTAGTGATAATCCGATCTTGAAATTCAATTATCATGTGCTCCACATCCATTTTCTCTTCTATGTACCTACAATGTGTTTTCATTAAAATAAATAATAATAAAATGTTTGCGTTTAGGCAATATGCTTACAAGAAATTTAACATATTTGCCAAAAAATTGTTTGTTTTTATCCGAAATACCTACATGAAATTTAATGTGTTTGTGTTCTCACACCTCCCAAAAAATTGTGTTTAGACGGAGTATTTTTTTCATTTATTCTTTTGTTACTTGTTTTTTTGGGTGTTTGGATAGTTTATTTGTTGCATGGAGAGCGGTATGTATTTCATTCTATCTACGTAATATAATATCAATAAAATTACAATTAGAGGCAAACGCACAAAGGCCCATTCTTATAAGCTTGACCGCACAATTCTATAGAGTTTTTAGATGCAATAGTTCTTGAATTTGTACCCAATTTGCATTTTGGTCCTTGAATATACAAAATTACTGACTCAACTCCACTTCCATTACCATCGTTGGTCCTTGCATTACATTTTCTATCACATTTAGGGGCAAAACTGTATTTTAATGTTCTTTCTAGTGGAAAACACCACTAGCATCACCCTCTTCCTATTAGGTTTGACCCCTACCCTCCCCACCCATCCATTGTCGCTGAGCACCCCAAACCCACCCAAAAGTGATCTTCCCATTAAATCACTCCTTACCCGCTGCACATATTCTCATGCCTGCTGATAAGTTCATAATTCCAAAAGTTTTTAGCATCTCTTTACTTAGTTTTTGTTCTTAGTTCTTTCCTATAATAAGCTAATCTAGTTCTTTTAGTGTTTTGTACGTTAAACAAAGCAAAGATGGGGTTTTGAGTTGAAATTGAAGTTTTCCTAATCAAACTAGAAAATATCAAGTTCCTTAAGGACCAAATAATAGCACAACCAGTTCCTTTTGAATAAGCCTAATTATAAAGACCTATAGAGGCAACCGCACGAATGCCCATTCTTGTAAACTCAACCCACCCAAAAACAAAAAAAAAAGACTCATCCAAGGTGCTTTTTTTCCTCATCCACTTTTATCTATACACATAAAGCAAAAGGCAAAAAATGGTGAAACATTCAAAATACCAGAAAATGTCATTGGTTAATTCTAACATTAAGAATTGAAATTATTAATTAAATGAGGATAATATGGTAAATTCACATTTTTTCATATTAAAAAAATAAAAATAAAAATAAAATCATATAATATGTTCTACTTTTATAGAACATAACTACCCATGTTATTTTTTCTTAATTCCAAAAATAAAATTTAATAAGAAAAAAGAAAACCACTCATGTGCCAAGGGGCTAGTTAATTTTAAAATTTCATCTAAATTTCATCGTTTCTGTCATATCCAATAAAAAATAATAAAAGACTTGGAAATATATATATACGCAGACAGGCACATTCTAGAGGGTGTGTTTTTTAAAATGTAAATGCAAATTCCAGGAAGGAACAAGCCAAAGTCTATGAACATTGCATATAGACAAACTCAAGCCTCAAAACCCAGCTCTTTCTCCACACACACACACAGATTTATATATATATATATATATATATATATTCTGTCTGAGCAACACCAAAATAGCTAGTATATGGGATTGGCAACTTATCCTATTTACATTGGAATGAATGTCATCAATCTTCACAGTTCTAATGTCGTCATCATGCAGCACTTCATACACAATCAACACTTCTTCTTCGTCAACTTTGCAGCACAACCAACAACATTGTTTGAAGCTTCAACGACATCTAAGCGTCACCATGGCAAAAACAACACTATTCTTGCTTTCACCATTCCTACAATCCTAACGTTGGTCCAGATGCGGTATGCACAAGAAGATCTGTTCAGAACGCACCGTATCATCATGATGGTTGTTTGTTCCAGCGTCCTCGCATATTGCTTGGCCTTCAGCTTATTAGGGCTACTGCTACTGCTTATGAAGCTTAGTGTTATTAGTGATGAACATGATCAGAGTCATGCATACATATATAAATGGTGCCACGTCACCATGATGCTGTTTGGTTCAATCTCAGTTGCTTCACTCTTGTGGCTTCTGCTTTTTCCACACTCCTCTTCCAGCCGCCTCGAGATCTATCTAATCTTGAGCTTGTTAGTGCTGCTGGGCTTGGCCTCCAAACTCGTGCCGGCCGTTGCTAAATTCCTTTCTCCGGTTGGCCGAGGACAGAACCATGTCAGGAGAGCAAGTCCACTTTTGCCCCTCAACACAGTGGATTTGTCCCTAAGATAATCAATCTGGGTCTTATTATGTTGTTGTGTCTCTCATAGTCAAACAATATCGGTAGAATATTTTTTAGATTGTATTTCATTCTCTAAAAGAAGGTATTTATAGTACAAGGATGTAATTTTAGTATGGTCAAATTAGGAAACAAGATAAAAACCTAATTACACAATATATGTACAAAAAGAAAATAAATATAATCCTAATAAACTGGGAAATAAATATATATCTTAATTAAGTTAGGATCTCGATAACAATCTCAAGTGACATGTGTAAAAGGAAGAAAGCTTGGGATGACCATTTGTCCTCTAGATCATGATTCGTCCTGTTTTGCGTCTAATATATAATGCCGCCAAGTTTAGTAAATTAATTCACCAAATCATGTTACGTGTAACGTTATAGGTACTTGAGAAAAAGAAAATGGATGGCTCGAACATGAGTTTTGTTGTTTATTTTGCACCTATATATTGCTTGCTTTTCAGTTTCATAGAAAGGGAGAACTCCTTGCATGTTTTTTTTTTGGGCACGTGATTAATCATTGAATGACCTCAATGAAACGTTTAATGCTGAAAGTCACACTCGTGACCCCAATGAAACCTTTAATGCTGAAACAACAACTTATATGTTTTGTTGTATCACTAATTTAATTTAGTACTTTTTGGAAGAGATGCATATGATGAAAACAATTCGTCAAGTAGTGTTATGTTTGAATAGAACACATCTTTCATCACATTCTTGTGATAACTATATCTCATCAAATACACATAATTATTTCAGTCATGTTCTGTCACAAAATTTTCAAAATCATATATCGTCCTTCAATATTGAATGCAAAATAGCAATCTTTTACAAGCAGAAGTTGCTTTTGCTCATGTCCCTTTACTTTACCTAGTTGGTCTTTGAAAATTTGGAGTTTGACGCCATGTTTACCATTTGAAAATTTGGATGTATATGTATGTTTTTTCCAATCTTTTACAAGCAGAAGTTGCTCTCAGTAATATATATGTTTTTTCCAGTTTCAAAAATAGGTACCATGAGGAATCCTTTGCCGGAAATGCAATGACTATGGCTTCTTTCCACCATTTTTCACAACCCCTATGCAACTTAGACACTAGATAAACATTATTCCCACAAATTGACCACCAAATATTATATTGTGGTGAAATTTATTTTATTTTATTTTATTTTAAACAAAACTGACTTATCTTGATCAAATAAAAAATTGAATGTTTGTGGAGAACCAAGGATTTAGTATTATTTAGATAATTAGATACCTTCTTCAGGCCCTTGAAGAAACGATGAGTTATGTCCAAGAAGAATACCCAAAAGAGAAGTGGATGCTACAGCGCCTCCTAAAGCACGCACAAGCTCCCCCCTACACAGAAACAAAAAGAACCCGTTTCATCAAAACCAATTCCAAGTCCAAAAATCCACATAAATCACCAATTAAACACTACCTAACATGGAAAATAGGTACCTTAAGCTTTGCCCTCTCACGAATGAGAGTGAGAGAAGCATCTATAACTCGACTTTGACCCTTCTCTATCCAAGCATTGGGAACATTTTCCGCATTGATTTTTTTGCAAGAAATGAATCCCTCTTAGCCCAATTATTTTCTTTTTTTTGTTGTTTTTGTGGTTAAGCCAACTAAATGAAAAATCAATGCATTTGTGTTTTTTTTTTCTTATTTGGCTTTGGTCAATGATTGACGTGCCCTTCAATGGAGGTAATATGTTATACATATAGTGGCTGATTCTTCTTTCAATATTGTCATCTCTACTAACTCTCTGGCTCTCTCTCTCCTCCCTTGGCTTTCTTCTCCATTTCTCTATGGCCTCCTTCACCTTATCTTTTCTCTCCTCCCTTGGTGGTTCTTTTTTATTAGTTCTTGGTGGGGACAGTGCATGGGTTATAAGAATCAGGCATGTGAAGGTGAGATTTGATATTTATATTAGGCTAAAAGTCATTTTTGGTACTTGTAGTTTGACACTTCAATCACTTTTGACCATATAGTTTCAATTCCGTCAATTTTGACCCCGTCGTTTAATATTTGTAGCAATTCAAGGACAAGTTAGTATTCCTGTCAATTTCTTTGACGATGCAAGGGGTAATTTCGTCAACCCAAAATCCTTGAGAATAAAAGCTCGTCTGAAACTCCCCTAATTTCATATTAGTGCTTGAAATTGGTCATTTGGGTTTAGGGTTCTTCAAAAATTGAATTAACGGTTGAATTTCGAGCCCTAATATGAAATTGGGAGAATTTCAAACAAGCTTTTACACTCAAGGGTTTTCAGTTGACGAAATTGCCCCCTTGCATCATTAAAGAAATTGATAAGAATACTAACATGCCCTTGAATTGCTACAAATACGAAACTACAATGGCAAAATTTATGAAATTGAAACTACATGATCAAAAATGGTTGAAGTGCCAAATTACAGGGACCAAAAGTGACTTTTGGCCTTTATATTACCCACTTAAAGGTCTCACACAATACTCCATTTAATGAAATACTTTAAAATCAATAAGTTTTTGAATACCACAGTACTTTTATTGACTACTTAAAAATCATAATTGAATACCAATGTACTTATATTGATTACTTAAAAGTCCTAATTGAATACCACTTGACTTTTAAGCTTCAAAACAATCTATTAGAATTTCAGCAGCATGACGCTTTCTTCTTTGCAGCACTTTGGATTTTCTCCTTTTGCTTCTTGCCTTCAATTTCTGTAGCACTTCGTTCCTCCTTCTGATTTCTCGCCTCTGCTTTTTGCCTCTGGCTTTTTTTTCGCTTTTCATTTGAGCCTTTTTACAGCCATGAAGAAATGGTTGGTGAATCATGGAGTCAGCAGAGATAAAGAAGGAATGTTGCCCACTAAACATTGCATGACGTGGGGCACTTTCTTGTCTTGGGCTTTTATCTTGGGCCCTTTCCTTGTCATGTAATTTTTTGTTTTCAACATATAGAAATTTGGAAACCACACTGTTCAATTACAAGGCTAAAGCTAGGGACCTGGTTTTGTATATCTACACGGTTTCTTTCTTACCCTAACGGAAACAACATTTTATGTAAATTAAAATGACTAATTATTTTATTTAGAAACTGACCCTTTTTTGTATGTAAATATACCCAATGGTTCTCAGAAAAGGAAATTGTGTTTTGGATAAATGAGTCATTTGGCACAATAATTTTCTTTTTTATCCGTTTAACCATAAAACAATTCATTTGCTACGCAAATTTAATGAAGCAAATGGGCCGTTGATGTTCAATTGCTGTATGATTACTGCTAAGCCCGTGTTCAATTTGCCGCTATCATCCACACGAAATTTTATATTGAGAGTGCCATATATAAATATATATATAGCGTGAAATTCTAAATCATTGTATATAGATATATCCACGTGAAATTCTATATTAGCCACGTAATCATTTCATTATATACACCACCGCCATAAATTTGTAGTACCTGGACGTCACCATTTCATTAACATTAGGTAAATCATACCATGACATAGACATATAAAATGAAACTTCGAACAGACCTGACTCCAACAACAAATATTATGATGCTGCTGCTGGTGGCTTGATCATGTACTTGAGAAGCAGAGATGCTTCAGTCACAAATGTTTTCTTTTTTTTACCACGCAGTAGAGTCAAAACAATTTGGATATACAATGAGAAGGATAAATAAATTATTACATACAACCATTGTACATAACTCTTCTTTCACAAAACAACCATGTAATTGGTATTAAAAAAAAAAATTAGATATATATATATATGTTCGTTCGAATGGACTGTTGTTTTTTCAGTAAATATTCTAAACCAATCCAATTAATTAATGACCGGTTTAGTTTGATTATTGTTATTTTCACAGAAGAGGGAACTTGGACTACTGGCGAGAATGAATGGAATCTCCTCTAGAGGAGATTGAGGTGGACAAGTGATGACGATAAAGTATAAATGTACCCATTCTAAATGCATAATTTTGCTAAACCTTTTTTAAGATGCATATAAATAAAGCTTTTGACCATCATACATCACAAATTAAAGCTAGCTTTTGACCATAAACTAAAGTTACACCGTAAAAGCTTATGGTCCAAAACTACCAACTAAGAATATGGAGGAGAGGAAAGGAAGCATCGTCTCCGGTTTCCGCCAATAAGGTTATTGGAAAAAAAAAAAAAAAAAAAAAAATTCTTTTGTTTTTTTTTGTACTAGGATGATCTCGATTTATAATCACAATTTATAATAAATAAAAAAAATTATTTCGAGTGTTATTGTGTTATTGGTCAAAAATAACAAAAACGAGAGTTACTCTATTCAGTTTAGTTACTTGATAAACCATGTATGGCAGGACCCATTATGATGTCACCAATCCAACTACGCCATAAAGCACTAATTAATTGTAAATTTTGGATGGTTCCTCATTGTCTTCAAGGGTAGAAATTCTTGCACAGGTGGGTGGGGTAGGGCCTCTCACATTGTCTGGGGATGATGTGATCCAATTTTCACATGAAGATTCCGATCCCATTTTATTTGCCACATAAATGCATACTTCGCAACTTTCAAGTCTCAAAACGCAGCTTCTTTCTCCACATTACATATATTACATATATTGTGTCTGAGCAACACCAAAATAGCTAGTATATGGCAACTTATCCTTTTTACATTGGGATGAATAATATCATCAATTCTCACAGTTCTAATTTCGTCATGAGGCAGCACTTCATCAACAATCAGCACTTCTTCTTCATCAACTTTGCAGCAAGACCACCAACATTGCTTGAAGCTTCAACGACATCTAAGCGTCACCATGGCAAAAACAACACTACTCTTGCCTTCACCATTCCGACGATCCTGACGTTGGTGCAAATGAGGTATGCACAGGAAGATCTGTTCAAAACGCATCGGATCATCATGATGGTTGTTCTGTCCAGCGTCCTCGGATATTGCTTGGCCTTCAGCTTATTAGGGGTACTGCGGCTGCTTATGAAGCTTAGTGTTATTAGTGATGAACATGATCAGAGTCATGCATACATATATAAATGGTGCCACGTCACCATGATGCTGTTTGGTTCAATCTCAGTTGCTTCACTCTTGTGGCTTCTGCTTTTTCCACACTCCTCTTCCTGCCACCTTGTGATCTATCTAATCTTGTGCTTGTTGCTTTTGCTGGTGGTACTGCTGGGGTTGGCCTACAAACTGGTGCCGGCCGTCGCTGAATTCCTTTCTCCGGCTTGCCGAGGACAGAACCGTATCAGGAGGGCAAGTCCACTTTTGCCCCTCAGCACAATGGATTTGTCCCAAAGATAGTCAGTCTGGGTCTTATTATGTTGTTATGTCTCTCATCTCAAGTGACATGTGAAAAAGGGAAAAAAGCTTGCGATGACCATTTGTCCTCTAGACCATCGCGACTCGTCCTGTCTTGTGTCCAATATAACACCAAGTTTAGTAAATTAATTCGCAAAATAATGTCACGTTATGAGGTACTTAGGAAAAGAAAATTGATTGCTCCAACATAATTGTTGTACTTTATATATCGTTGTTGTTTGTATCCTTTGCACCTATTGCTGCTTTTATGTTTCATGGGAAGAGAGAAAACGCGCGAGCTTTCCTCCTTGCAAAAAGTAGATGAACATGTGTTGGCATTTGAATAATTAATGTTCATAAACGTCGAGTGATACAAAGAGACAATTGGTTGTCTGGAATCTGCAAGACATATCTTCACCTATTATTTAAAGCATAGAATGGACCAATGGGGTATAACTCCCTATGTATCTAACGCGTTAAGCATTTATAGTTTCTGTTTCCTAATCTAATTGGGAAAACAAATATTTTATTCAAAAACTGGTCCCCATTTGCTTTAAAATTACCCACGTTAAGTTGGAGTTATTAAGAAACTCGAATTAGGTGCTTTGGCAAATATTTGATAATACGAGCTCAGCCGCATATATGGTTCACTAATTTTTCTTTTAATGTCGTTTGTAAAATTAAGTTTGATGTGCGGTTCTGATAGGAATCCGTAGAGGATCCTCTTTGTAATTTCAAGAAATTTTTTATTTTATTTTTTGTGCTTTGTTTCTTTTTTGTCAAGCCAACCCAAATGAAAAATCATATCTAATTTCACTTGACTGTGACTAATTGCATGCTAAACCCAACATTACTACTTCAAATGAAAAATCAATATGCACATTTAAAATAATTTTATTTGAGAGACACTCTTTAGGCCCCGTTTGGTTCATGGGAAATGAGACTTGGGAATAGGAAATCAATTGCTTTCTCATGTTTGGTAAGTCCAGATATGGGATATTGTTACCTAGCCCATGGGAAAGTAAGAGGGAAAGTGAAACCATTCTCCCAACTTGGGTTTTGTTTTTCCTCCTCATGGGAAAGTTTGAGAAAATGAGCCAATATTAAATAAACATTTTTCATGACCATTTGGTCCTCATTAACAATTTAGAATTACAATATATCATTAAGTCTACAAAAATATTTGTTTCAACAATCCGAACATGTATTTTTTAAGTTTACATTCATAGATCATCCTTGCAAAAAAAAATTAGACAAATTGGAAACCGTTTCGACATCCAATTGTGTTTTACAAAATCAAGAACTCGGCCCTTCAAGAAAGTATTAAAATTTCAATAATTCAATTGAGTGGTAAAATGATATTAGATTCAAGTGATTTTTTTGTAGAGATGATCTTTGAATGAATATCTACAAAATAGACGTTTGGATTAGTGAAATACAATACGGAGTGGACCTTACAAGGGCGTCCCTCAATTTTTCAAAACAACTGCAATCTCCAAATGGATCCTCCTCGGGTCAACCCTCTCAAACCACATATTGGTTTTTTTTTCTTCCTATAATTTGTGATTATGACAGTCATTGCATTAATTCAATGTCAAAGAAAAAAATATTTACATTTGCGTATCCAATTATGTTTGGGCTAAACTCAAAATTTCACCCATAAAATACAACTATTCATGTATTGCTTAGACTCAAAATAATTTTTATCCTCCAACCATGCAGGGCTCATAGTTACGCATACACTAATTTGGGCCATATTGCGCATTATGAATTGTTTTGGTGCCCAAATTAATGCATACACTAATCACCAAGCCAAAATAAACAAAAAGAGCACTTTGTAATTATTGGACACAATTAAGCTTCCTCTTAAAATTTAGTAATTAAGGGCAAGCCTTCTCTTAAAATTCCACTTTCCATGATGCTAGCCAGCTTGTCTATCATAATATTTTTGGTAAATTCTAGTTTGAGCATATTTGTTCACCACTTTAATTTAACGTGTACCATCACCACTATTCTCAACACATGTCATCATTGGCGAAGCCTATTAAGACCCACGAGGGTCGGCAGACCCTTCTACAATTTAAACATTCTCCTTGAAATTGTTTTTTGACCCTTCTAAATTGTTCTTTTGACATGTGTATGGTTCAGTTTTCTAGCATCTTTACCTCATAAAATGGTTTTTTTCATCTTCTTTATGTCGTATTATAAATTCTATAATTTAGATATCATGTGTATATGAGAAATCATATTTTTAAATAACTAAAATACATCCATGAATGATTCCATAATATGATTTATTAGCTTTCCTTTTTGACTTTTAGGTATCTTGCATGGGGGTTTGGTTTTTTGGGCATTAGCGTTGTTAAATAATTCCTTCCAATGTTACAATGTGAATATCATAATTATTTAAGCCTGACTCCTCTTAACAAAATTTTTGATTACGTTACTTCTTGATATGTATATGTGGATATAACTATTGTTCCAGAAACACAAAGCAAAGAGTTAACTATGGTTGTATATATGGACACATATCAATTTTATTTTTATTTTTATGCGAAAAATAAAATTACAAACTAAAACCACTAGAGCACGCAAGCCCAAAGAGGTCGAAATAAAAAGCAGAAGCGACAGAAAAAGGGAGGCCAAATTCCCAAAGATGAGGAGGAGACATCCCATTGTCTAAGTTACCTAGAGCATCAGCTAAGAAATTAGCTTCCCTAAACACATGGCTAAACTGGACGGAATCACACAGGGAGGCTAACTAGTAACTGCCAAATATCTTGAATCAAAAGCTTCACACTCCATGGGACTACGTTCATTTGCATACTGTACATGAGCCACTCTGCCTCCTACACAAAAGATTATAGTCTATGAATGCAGGGAAAAAAAGGTGCAAATATTATCAGTTAAGAATGTTTATAAATTTTCTCACAAAGTGATGCTTTAGAGAAAATCAGCAATGATACATATAGATAGCCAGGTTATGTGAAACTAAAACAGATATCATTTCCTTTCATGAATTTGGACTAATATTCATTTCCAAACTAACTGGAAACTGTGTTTACAGATGAGAATTTACCTGCACGTGAATATTCATTACCTTCAAAGGCCTTATAGATATCCACAGGTCCCACAAGCTTCTCGGAGACAGCTCTTACAACAGGATACGATATTGAGTGGTCGCCACCCAACACTAATGGGCGCAGTGGATCCCGAAAGGGCATGGACACAATATAAAGGTTCTTCCAAAAATATCCCAAAGGTATACGTAGCAGGTGTATGTATGTACTCATTGGAATTAAAAGTCTCTAACAAACAAGGACAACATTTACTCTCAATAATATATCTGTGATGCTTTCCAGGAAACAAAAAAGGACAACATTACTCTTAGTATAGTATACCACTCTGAGTTTGAATTCGAATATTTCTCTGATGGAATGTTTTGCCCAGTTTCAAAAATCCATGCACCAGGAGGGAAGCACAAAAAGTTGGGATTGCAGCCAAAGGCTCGCATATATACGATGATGATGATAAAAGAGGTACCATGAGGAATCCTTTCCCATAAATGCAATGACTATGGCTTCTTTCCACCATTTTTCACAACCCTTATACAACTTAAGACACTTGGTAAACATTATTCCCACAAATTGGCAGGAGGATCCCAACAGGGTGGTAACTCCTAACCGGTTTCCACTTTCATGGCAGTTGAAAACTTCAACAAAGAAAGGAAATTATGAAATTTTAGTTTGGTAACTTCGGCAATTTAATGGATGCAGTATTTTTCTCTCTCTCAATGAATAAGCTTCATGAGAAATTGGCTAAATGCTGACATGGGGTCTCAGTATTGCCATTGTTGGACCTAAGAACGACGAAGTTTGTGGGAAAAGTGTGGTTATGATCAGTACAACGGATTCCCCGTTCCTAGTCCAGTGATGCACTATGAAGTTTCCTGAAAAGGTCTTGACAGGTTGGCACTGAAGTTTCCAATTAAAAGGAAAATGGCATCACTTCTTAACTAAAGTTTCCTGCAGTATGATGCATAGGGAGTCATCCTTTTCTACCTTCCACTAAATTCTTTTAATCTTCCATCTCCATCTTTTTTTTTTTTTTTTTTTTTTTTTTTTTTTTTTTTTTTTTCTTATAGGCCTCCAACATGGATATGTGAATGAACGAACCTGAATTTTCATCCTAGACAATATTCTACCTTCCATGCATGCATATTATTTATCAATATGAAAACAGGACAATCTCCAAATTTGATTACCTTTCCTGCCTCTTTCTGAGGTCCATAGGAAAGCAATTCCAGCAGAGTTATGTCCGTAACCCTTCGCTCCTTGAAAACACCCTGAAACCAAATTATATAGAAGTAGAACTAACCTTGTCCTCGCCCCCAATGAAGTTGTCCTGAAAAATGACCGGATAGTCATCTTTGGTCACCTACAAAAATAGCTTTTGTTTACATTTTTCCTCTAAAGGTTTCTTCACTCAACCAATTGTAAAAGTAAGAAAATGGAACAAAAGAACAGAAAAGAAAAGAAGCAGAGCAATCAGTACCCTAAATTTGAATGAATAATTTAACACTGAATACAAGAAGAAGACTCTCCACTTATTACATCAACGTTGATTTTGTAGCCCCAAATTCCATGACAAGCCAAGGAACCTGTATCATAGTAAAATAAGAAAACAAACTACGGCAAGATTCTACTTTCAAGAGCAAGATTGCTGCTTTTCATGAAATGTTTCCTTTTGGGTGCCCAAAAAGCACAAAGATTATGCTTTTATACGAACGTCAAACTCGACAAAATCCATTAGAGAAATCAGGGAACAGGGTACCCTGATCCCTGTTTCAAATCTGAGGCCTGAAAATGGCATCATACTGCAGGAAGGGAACTTGACATCTAAGCATTTAAAATATGAAATATAGCAGCAAGCAGTTGTATGGTGTCATACTGGTAAAGTTTTCAATGTTATAAAAGGGATATGACTGCATGTCATGTGCAATGAACATACATTACATGTGGTTCAACCAATTGCTGCTCAAACTCAGCCCAGTGTAACAAATTAAAGCTTTTGAAGCACATCAAGTTACACTAACAATGTATAAACAAGGAAAAACAATAGGGATATCTCAAACAATTTCCAAGTCCAAAAATTAAACACTACCCAACATGGAAAATAGGTACCTTTAGCACGAGGAACATCTATAACTTGGCTCTGACCCTGTCTATCAAAGCACTAGGAATATTAGTTGGCATTGCTGTCACAAAAACCCACGTACTTATAATCATTTTGTGGTTAAGAAATCAGAGAGATAGAGAGGCTATGAAGAGAAGTAAGAAAAACTTAAAAATGATCAAAGCAGAGAGAAAATCAACAGGAAAAAATCGCTCAAATTAAAATGTCCCACTCGTGTATTTTGTGGTTCAGTTTGCTTTATAATCATAACTGATCAAGAGAAGTTGGAGTAGAGAAACTCGAATTACAATTGTACATAAACTAATCACAATTACAGAATGAATTGAATAAAAAACGTGCTAGCTCTCCTGAAAAACCATGTACTTATTATCGTTTTGTGGTTCAAAAACCAGGTATTTACATCTGATATCCAAGAAATCAGAAGGCTCGGCACTTCCTGGAGCTAGTCAGAAACTTGTTCTTTGTCAAAACCCGACCTCGTCCCGGCTTAGACGGCAAAGGCAAGTTCTTGATGTCGATAACTTGAATTTTCTTTCGCTTGTTTTGGAACTCTTGATAGCCTTGGTGAAGCTTCCGAACACTAGTCTCCAACTTCTCTTCATCATCCCAATCTTGCCGATGATGAAGATCATGATCAGTAGATTTTGTGAGCCCCTTAGGGTTTTGTTGGCTCTCCGAAAAATCAGAAGGCTCTGGGCGCTTCCTCGAACTGATCAACGGCTTGTTCTCGCTCAAAACCCGGCCTCGCTGAGGCTTAGACGGCAAAGGCAAGTTCTTGACGTCAAGAAGTTGAATTTTCTTTCTCTTGTTTTGGAACTCTTGATAGCCTTGGTGAATCTTGCGCTTGCTATTCTCCAACTTCTCTTCATCATCCCAGTGTTGCCGTTGATGGTGAGCATCAGATATTGTTGGCCCCATAGGGTTTTGTTGACAAGAAGATGGAGGTGGTCCGCATAGCACCAAGCGGAGGGTCTCCAAATTCTTCCCTTTGCCGTGAGATGGTGGTTTCTTGGGCTTCTCTTCAATTGCCATGTTGTGGTCATCAAGTTTGACGTTGTCGAACAAGAAGGGATCGAAAGTCGTGGTTTCACTTTCAAGGATGACGACAGCTTCAAGGTCGTCGAGAGGGCAAGCGAGTCCAGCAAAGTCGTCATCGTCATCGTCAACGTCAACGTCAACAGGAGGCTCTCGCTCGCATCGCTGTTCCTTCAAAGCCTTCATCTTGTCTGAAAGAGAACGTAGCTAGTGAAGTGAAAGAGAAAGTAGCTAGTGAAGTGAAGGGTCTCGATCGTTTGAAAGAGAAAAGATTACAGGGAATTTTGGAAACCCTAAATCACAATAGCTAGTGTTTACAAAAGGCTCAGGCTACATATGTATTTATAGTTTTCTGTTTCCTAATCTCATTGGGAAAACCAATATTTTATTCTAATTAACTCGTTATAGTTTTCTTTTTCCTAATATCTTTGGGAAAACGAATATCTTATTCTAATTAATTCTATTGCACTTTCTAACCCTAACTTGCCACGCTGTCGCCAAACGCAAATGGCCCATGTTTGTGTTTTGTGCTTCAACAAGTTGGAGTTATTTAGAAACTCTCTTGTATTACCCCCAAACAAATTATTTTTTTTTTTTTTTCCTCTCTTTTTTTTTTTTTTTTTTTTAAGTTTTGTTTTTTTTTTTTTCTTTTTAGTTTTATATTAAATACTATTATTATTTGATTGAGGATTTCTTTTAGTTTTAAATTTCTTGCTCTTTTTTTTTTTCGGAAATTAGTCCTGAAGAATTTTTTGGTTTAGTCTCCAGGTGTACCAAAGGAAGGCACATGATAATTTCCTCATTTTGATATCTTTGCAGTCAACTCTCTCACAAGCTTAGCAGCTACCATTGCAGTCATCCCATCAACAGTGTCGCGCTGCGGGTTGAATTCAATGACATCTGCAGCAACAACGTCGCCTTGGAGGCTGTGGAATATGTTGAGAACATCACGGAAGGAAAGACCCCAGGCTCAATGTGTGACACTCCGGGAGCAAATGCAGGATCAAGGCAATCTACATCTATCAAGATGTACACGCCCTTCACACCTTCCCCTAATTTCTGTCAAACACAAATTTCTTAAGAGTTACTCTCAGTACTGTTATAAGTACATGCAGAAACATAAACACAAAGATACACATGGGACAGGGACGGAGGGAGGGAGAAGAGAGACCAGCATTTCCCAAAAATGACGATCTCGTGAAAAGGTTCGCATTTCATATTGTTCAACGCCAAATCATTTTCCTTGTTCACGCCCTTCTTTGTTGATTGATCTAATACCAACCTAAAAATTCCGCAACCAAATTCAGGAGGCTGGCTGAAATGCTGGTTGACAACTAAAACAGGACATTCAACTTACTTACAGCGCAAGAACATATGAGAACTACATTAGGTTAAATGCTGAATAGATATAAAGGAGAAGAAAAAGAAGTAGCATAGGTCATAGGATGACAAAGACATGTCGAATGAAACTTGCTGTAGTAAGCGACAGCACACTCATATTAACTAAGATTTCATCCATATTTTAGGCAGAGGCCAAATAAAAAATGCTACTTTTGCTAACGGCAAAGCTCAAGTGGAAGTTTAAACTTAATCAGAGATGCAATAACATATTTGAAAGTCATATAAGGTGATTAATCCATTATTTGAATTTTGAATAAGGTTTTACATACCTGATGCCAAGATTAGAAATACCAAATGCTTATAAAATCTTCTATGGTATATAACATTATCAGCTGAGAATATTTACAAATTTTCCCACAAGTGATGGCAAAATCCTATGAGACGCTTTACAGAAAATCAACAATGATACATATAGATAGCCAGGTTATGTGAAACTAAAAAGATATACAAGGTTGTTAATAATCCCTTTTCATCAATTTGTTATTTGACTAATATTTATTTCCTAATTAAGCGGGGAAAGAAAGCCATGAGGAATATACATACGGTGTATTTACAGATAAGAATTTACCTGCAAAAGCCGCCGAGCATAACCACCTTCCATATTCGAGCAAAAGAAGATGCGTGTGAATATTCATTACCTTCAAAGGCTTTATAGATATCAGGATGGGCATCCAGATGAAGAATATCCACTACAGGTCCCCCAAGCGTCTCGGAGAGAGCTCTTACAACAGGATAAGGAATTAAGCTTCCTGACAAATCACCAATTTAGTAATTAAGGGCAAGCCTCCTCTTAAAATTCCTTTTTCCAAGATAATGAAACTGGAAATGAATTTTTCAGTTACATACTGCAGCTATATGTTTAACACTTTCAGATAATGAAACTGCAAGAATCCTGTGTTATGCAGGTACATGATAATTTACTATCCAGGTGTACCAAACGCAGGCACATACGATAATTTTATCATTTTTATATCTTTGCAGTCAACTCTATCACCAGCTTAGCAGCAACCATTGCAGTCATCCCATCAACAGTGTAGCGCTGCGGGTTGAATTCAACAACATCTGCAGCAAAAACGTCGCCTTGGAGGCTGTGGAGTATGTTGAGAACATCATGGAAGGAGAGACCCCCAGGCTCATCTACATCTATCTAGATGTACACGCCTTCACACCTTTCTTTAATTTCTGTCACACACAAAATTCTTAAGAGTTACTTTCAGTATGGATGCCATGCAATTGTCACTCTCAATATGGATGCTATGCAATTATCAGACCTTGATTGTATGGTTTCATGATTTGCTTATTTGTCAAAATTATAAGACGTACAAATAGTGATGGATATGCATAGGAAAGTAAGGAGGAACAAAAGAGAGAAACAGAGACGGAGAGATAGAGACCAGATCGTTTTCCTTGTTCAGGCCCTTCCTTGTTGATTGATCTAATACCAACCTGAAAGTTCAGCAAACCAAGTTGATCAGGTTGACTGTTAATGCTGCATAGCAAAATAAAACAGGACATTCAACTTAATTAGCACATGAGAACTAGATTAGGTTGAATGCTAAATAGATATAAAGGAGAAGAAAAAAAATTAGCATATAACTAGCATGACAAATACATGTCGAATGGAACTTGTTAAGTGACAACACACTCGCACTATCTAAGATTCATCTATATTTTAGACAGAGGCCAACAGAAAAAGTGCTACTTTTGCTAACGCCAAAGCTCATGTGGAAGTTTATATTTGAGAATCAGAGATGCATTAACTATATATGGAAAGTTATATAAGGTGACAAAGCCAAAACTTAATGCCAATATTAGAAAGACTAAATCAGAAAAATGCTTATATTCATCGTTTAGTATACCACCTTTACTCTCAGTACAGTAGGCCCTTGAAGAAACAATGAGTTATGTCCAAGAGGAACACCCAAAAGAGAAGTGGATGCTACAGCGCTTCCTAAAGCACGCACAAGCTCTCCCTACACAGAAACAAAAATAATTAGAGAAAATCAGCAATGATACAAACAGATGGATGTAGAATTTGGACTAAAACATATAGATAGATAGATAGATACATAAGTGAAACCAAAACATATATCATTTCCTAACTAAGTGGAAACTGTATTTACAGATAAGAATTTACCTGCATGTGAATATTCATTACCTTTCAAAGGCGTTATAGATATCCCCAGGTCCCCACACCCACCCCCCAAAAAAGAAAAAAATCTCGGAGACAGCTCTTACAACAGGATAAGAAAGCGGTCGCCACCTAACACTAATAGGTGCAGTAGATCCTGAACTCGCATGGACACAATATAAAGGTTCTTCCAAAAGATCCAAAATATATATGTAGCCGATAAATAATTGCTTCAAAAATTGAAAAAAAGCTAGTGCTACAGATAAATAATTGCTTCAAAATTGAACGTTTGTTGAGAACCAAAGATTTAGTATTATTTTAGATAATTAGATACCTTCTTCGGTTGTTGACTTGGTGCTACCACACAAGATAGCCTCTCTAATCTGAGGAGGAACGCCTCCTAAAGCACGCACAAGTTCCCCCTACACAGAAACAAAAAGAACCCATTTCACCAAAACCAATTCCAAGTCCAAAAAATCTACATGAACCAAAAATTAGGTACCTTGAGCTATGCCCTCTCACGAATGAGAGTGAGAGAAGCATCTATAACTCGGATTGACATTGCTGTCACAAAAACCCATGTACTAATATTCATTTTGTGGTTGAGAAATCAGAGAAACAGAGAGGCTGTGAAGAAGTGAGAAAAACTTGAAAATGATCAAAACAGAGAGAAAATCAAGTGGAAAAAAATGGCTCAAACGTACTCACTTGATTTTACTTGGACCAAAACATCCCACTTGTGTGTTTGTGTGTTTCATTTTGCTTTATGATAAGAGAAGTTGGAGCATCGGAACTCGAATTAATTTCTTTCCATACCGAAAAAATTAATTATTTTCCTCTTTTATGATTGTTCTTTTTCTTAGTTTTTTGTTGTGCCAGGTTTCTTTTTTGTCAAGCCAACCACATGAAAAATCAATGCGCGTCTTTTTTATTTATTTATTTATTTCGAAATCAATGCACTGTTTTTAAAAAAAATAATAAAAAAAATAAATTTTAAGGGAGATTGACTACTCTCACCATCAGTGTCAGAATAGACTTACAACCTTGAGCTGGAAAGAGTTATTTGTGGCACTCAACTACCAGCTGCTATCTATATGGATTTATATAGGAAATTACTGATCGCGTACCCACGAGGATTGTTGGCAACGGGACTCAAACACTGGTGAGGCTACACACAGTGTAAGGACTTTACCAATTGAACCAACCTTTATTGACAATGCATGTCTTATTTCACTTGAGTGTTACTACTTGTATTTTATAATATCAACTAATGAGTCTCATTTAATTAGTGACCTAAAAATAACTCTTTGATAACCATCATTAAATTAATTCAACTTTAGATATTGTTAGTAGCTTAATGCCCATTATTTTATATCCAATCAAAATTTAGTAGTAAAACCATGGCTTTTACACTCATAACCCGTTGCTTTATCCTACTTTTAACTCAATCTTTTTTTTCTTTTTTGCTTTGTTTTTTTTTGTTCAAAGTTAGGCAGGGTAAAGGGGGAAAATTCACACACACAGTATCATAGGGATTTGAAGTCATGACCACTTAAGAGCACACCAAAAATCTGGGCTCAATTGACCACATAGTATATTGTATATGAGGAATAGGGGGAGGGGCGTGAACCCACACGTGGATTCAAATTGAGATAATACACATGGTCATCATGTGGAAAAGGGAATTTTAAGAGGAAGCTTGGCCTTACTTGCTAAATTTATGATTTGTGAGGAAGCATAATTAATTACAAAGTGGGTTGTTTGTTTATTTGGGCTTAGTGATTAGTGTATGCATTAATTTGGGCATCAAAACAATTTAGATAAATATGCCCCAAAATGGGAAGCCATGATGATGATTCAAGGCAAAAACTAGTTGAATTGTTTTCAATACCACAAATTGATTAGTGTATACATTTATGCCATTTGAAAATTTGGATAATAGTTTTCGTGTTACATTTGATCACAATTAATGAATGAATTGAATAAACTAGACAATAAAAAACGTTTAGAAGGCTCGGCACCTCCTCGAACTGGTCAACAACTTGTTCTTTTTCAAAACCCGACCTCGTTTTGATACTCTTGATAGCCTTGGTGAAGTTTTCGCTTACTGCACTCCAACTTGTCTTCTTCATCCCAATCTTGCTAATGCGAGGCCACCATAGTCGTCAACAAGAGGCTCTCGCTCGCATCAATGTTCCTTGAAAGCCTGATCACCAACATACTTCATCTTGTCTAAAAGAGAAAAGATTATAGCAAAATTTGGAAACCCTAAATCACAGTAGCTAGTGTTCACCAAAGCCTCACGCTACATATGTGTATATAGTTTCCTAATCTCATTGGGCAAATTAATTCTTTTCCTCTTATCAAGGTTTTTTTTTCTTTTTTGTGCCACGTTTCTTTTTGGTCGAGCCAACCCAAATGAAATTTTTTAATCAATGCTCGTCTAATTTCACTTGAGTGTTACTACTAAACCAAGTATTACCATTTCTAATAACATGTCCTATGAAAATATTATCTTAATAAAGAGTTCACAATAAAAAGAAAAATATATATAAAAATAATCCGGGTAGGCTCTGAGCACAAGCAAGCAAAAACAAAATTATACATAAAAATTATGTTAGGCCCACTTTTTCATTAAATTCATAGTAATTAACCAAGTTGAATAAAATTACGAAATGACACTTACCACATTTTTATCCCACATTTCTATACCACATGATGTGGCATGTCCATATTATATTGCCACATCAATTAAATCAATGGAGTGTATTTTAATTATGACAATTTGAAAAACAAATACTGGAATAAATCATAAAAGAAAAGAAAATATTAAATAATTTTAATTAATGTGGTTGTCCACTTCAACTTTTACATAGGATGGTATAAGAATGTGATATACAAATGTGGTAAGAGTAGCATTATTCTTTCTTTTAGTTTTGAATTTCATGCTCTCTATTTTATTTTATTTTTGGGGGAAAAGTCTAGAATTTACTTTTTCGATCTTGAAGAATTTTTTGGTTCACATATGTAAGTAAATATGTCTTATTATACTAGAATTTGAGATTTGATAAAGGTTGTTTAGATAAACTGTAATTTATATTAATTTACAATTAGTACTACTGAAAATAAACCAAGTTCTGCAAGTTATTCTCATTAAACAAATTAATACATATTAAGCACAACGATGCCCCCACTGAAATATCATGCTGGAAATGAATTCTCAGTTACATACTGCAGCTATGTTTTAACACTTTCAGATGATGAAACTGCAAAAATCTGTGTTATGCTGGAAGGTCTAGTCTCCAGGTATACCAAGGGAAGGCACCTGATAATTTTATCATTTTGATATCTTTGCAGCCAACTCTCTCACCAGCTTAGCAGCTACCATTGCAGTCATCCCATCAACAGTGTCACGCTGGGGATTGAATTCAACGACATCTGCAGCAACAATGTCGCCTTGAAGGTTGTGGAGTATGTTGAGAACATCACGGAAGGAGAGACCCCCTGGCTCAAAGTGTGACACTCCAGGAGCGAATGCAGGATCAAGGCAATCTACATCTATCGAGATGTACACGCCCTTCACACCTTCCCCCAATTTCTGCCAAAGAAAAATTTCTTAACTGTTATTCTCAATACTCTCAGAAGTACATGCAGACATATAAAAAGAAAGATACACATGGGGCAGGGACAGAGCGAGGGAGAGAAACAGAGAGAAGAAGAGAGAGAGGAGAGAGAGAGAGAGAGAGAGAGAGACCAGGTTTTCCAAAAAATGACGGTCTCTTGAAAAGGTTCGCATTTCATATTGCTCAACACCAAATCGTTTTCCTTGTTCACGCCCTTCTATGTTGATTGATCTAATACCAACCTGAAAGTTCAGCAACCAACATCATCAGGTTGACTGAAATGCTGACAACTAAAACAGGACATTCAACTTAATTAGAGCGCAAGAGCATATGAGAACTACATTAGGTTTAATGATGAATAGATATAAAGGAGAAGAAAAAGAAGTAGCATAGGTCATAGTATGACAAAGACATGTCGAATGAAACTTGTTACAGTAAGTGACAGCACATTCGTATTAACTACGATTTCATCTATATTTTAGGCAGAGGACAACATTAAAAATGCTACTTTTGCTAACGGCAAAGCTCAAGTGGAAGTTTATACTTAATCAGAGATGCAATAAGTACATTTGAAAGTCACATGGGGTGATTAATCCATTATTTGCATTTTGCATAAGGTTTTACATACTTGATGCCAAGATTAGAAATACCAAATGCTTATAAAATCTTCTATGGTATATATTGTTATCCATTAAGAAGGGTCTACGTTCATTTGAATATTGTCCATGAGCCACTCTTCCTTGTGCACCAAAGATTATAATCTTCGAACGCAGGGATAAAAGTGCGAATATCAGCTGAGAATATTTACAAAATTTCCCACAAGTGATGGCAAAATCCTATGATATGCTTTACAGAAAATCAACAATGATACATATAGATAGCCAGGTTATGTGAAACTAAAAAGATATACAAGCTTGTGAATAATCCCTTTTCATCAATTTGTTATTTGACTAATACTTTTTTCCTAATTAAGTGGGAAAGAAAGCCATGAGAAATATACATACGGTGTATTTACAAACAAGAATTTACCTGCAAAAGACGCCGAGCATAACCACCTTCCATAATTCGAGCAAAAGAAGACGCATGTGAATATACATTACCTTCAAAGGCGTCATAGATATCAGGATGGGCATCCAGATGAAGAATATCCACAGGTCCCCCAAGCTTCTCAGAGACAGCTCTTACAACAGGATAAGAAATTGAGTGGTCACCACCTAACACTAATGGGCGCAGTGGATCCTGAAAGGGCATGGCCACAATGATTAGGTGCTTCCAAAAAGAACCAAAAGGTAGCCGGTGTATGCATATATTCATTGGAATGAAAAGTCTCAACCAACTAAGGGCAATATTTACTCTCAGTATCTGTGAAGCTTTCCAGGAAACAAATTGCACAAACAAGAACATATCCCGGATAATTTTCCAGAATGAAGTTCAACCAAATATCTGCTGGGTTTATGGAAGATTCAAAATAACTCAAGACATCGGAACATTTGAGCTGCCCACTGATGGCAACTAACTTTTCATTTTCTTTGACATCTTCAGAGTAATGCATCACAGTACAGTATACCACTCTGAGTTTGAATTTCAAAATGACATGAAGTGTGCCCATATGAATTTCAATATGGAATGTTTTGCCCTGTTTCAAAAATTCATGCACACAAAAAGTTGGGATTGAAGGTAAAGGCTCAAATATGAAGGTAACAGAGGTACTATGAGGAATCCTTTGCCACAAATGCAATGACTAAGGGTCCTTTCCACCATTTTTCACACCCTCTATACAACTTAGACACTTAGTAAAACATTATTCCCACAAATTGGCAGGAGGATCTCCAACAAAGTGGTAACTCCTCACTGGTTTCCCCTTTCATAGAAGTTGAAAACATCAGTAAAGAAAGGTAATTGTGAGGTTTTAGTTTGACAACTTTAGCAATTCAACGAATGAAGTACTTTCCTGTCTTTTGAAAAGTAACCATATGATATAAGTATTTTGAGAAATTGGCCAAATGCAGATGCTGAATTTAACATTTTACAAAAATGACAATTCTCGGTAAAAAGGACACTGACGCAAGAGTATTCCAATGAACTAATGATTATTTCAGGGACGGTTCAAATTTAGAATCTTGTTGAGAAGAATTTTATATTTCTGAAGAAGTGTAGTTATAGATACTGTTAATCAGTGCAGAGGATTCCCATTCCTAGTGCAGTCATAATCAAATTTTCTGAAAAGGTCTTAACAGTTTGTACTAAACTAGCAAAGTCTTTAATTGAAAACGAAATATAGGATCTGAGGACTGAAAATGGCATCATAGTACATACTGCAGGCTGGTTTCCCGACATCTAAGAATTTAAAATAGGAATTGTACCAGCTCAGCTTCAAAGTATACTTCTAAAAAAGCTGAGTTTCAAAGTATAAGAATATTACAAGCAATTGTGTCATACTGATAAAAATTTCAAGGTTATGAAAGGAATATGACTACATGTCATGCGCAAATGAATAGAACATATTGTAGTTCAACTAATTGCTGCTCAAACTCATCTCAACATGATAAACTAAAGCTTTTGAAACACATCAAGTCCCACTAACAATATATAAACAGGGAAAAACAATATGGATCTATCAACAATTGGTGAATTGAGGTAAAAAAATTCAACTTTTAGAAAATAACATAATCAAATGGCAAAAGCTGGTCTTAGAGTTATCAAGCTAGCTGAGCATTTTATCTCTACCAAAACAGAGAAGTGCATAACCGGTGAGATATAATCATAAGCCTGCAGCAGATAAGTGATTAAAAAGGAGAACTTCCTCCAGTTTTTAGTGAACTGGGCATGACTTTAAGTGTACCAAGTCATTTAACAGTGCCCCAAGTTATTCTACCAACAGAACAAGGACAGTTTTGGAAACAGAACAACAGAATTAGTTTTTCCACTGAAATATTCTAAAATTGCATTTTTTCCCCCTAAAATAAATCATTGTATTAGTTTTAAATTGGAAGCTTCTAGAAATTTCAACCTACCTGTTCCATCACTAGCTTGACAGACTCACTTATGACATTCATAAGTCTGTCATCTTCGACTCCACAATCTCGAATTTCTTGGATAGGAATATCACCAACATCAGTTAGCACCCGTGGGTCTCTTAGTTCTTTCCCTGCATTGCCAGCATCATGTTTCAGTGACTTCAATTCATGCACCATGACATGAAATTTTGAAAACATGAAAGAAGTCATCAACAACAAGCAATTCACTAAACTGCAGATCTTTCATGAATATAAAAGGTGCCCATTAAACAACCTGAGCACACACATGTATAGATGATAATTCTGAGACTGGTTTGGTTTCACTAATAACATGAACTGCTAATAAAACGATTGAGAAGATGAGGAACTGAATTGACCACCAATGTTGTATTTCAAGTGACAACACTTGTTGGGTTGTGGGATAATTTTAAATAATAAAAAAAACCGACTTATCTTGATCAAATAAAAAAAATTGAATGTTTGTTGAGAGCCAAAGAAAGATTTAATAGTTTTTAGATGATTACATGCCTTCTTCAGTTGTTGAGTTGGTACTACCACACCAGATTGCCTCTCTAATCCGAGGAGGAGCAAAAGCAGGCCCTTGAAGAAACGACGAGTTATGTCCAAGAGGAACACCCAAAAGAGAAGTGGATGCTACAGAGCCTCCTAAAGCACGCACAAGCTCTCCCTACACGGAAACAAAAAGAACCCATTTCACCAAAAATCCACATAAATCGAAAATTAAACACTACCGAACAAGGAAAATAGGTACCCTGAGCTTTGCGCTCTCACGAATGAGAGTGAGAGAAGCATCTATAAGTCGGCTTTGACCCTTCTCTATCAAATCACTGGGAACATTTTCAGCACTGAGTTTACGCAAGAAATGAATTCCTCTGCGCCCAATTATTGACATTGCTGAAACTACAGAAGAAGAAAAGAAAACACTTGATTTCTCTAAGTCGCAAAAACCATGTACTTATAATCGTTTTGTGGTTGAGAAATTAGAGTGGTCTCTGTACCTCGTGCGAGAATTGAAGGTGATAACAAGTAGCAGAGACGGAGAGACAGAGAGGCTGAGAAGAAGTGAGTGGGTTTACTGAGAAAAACTTGAAAATGATCAAAGCAGAGAGAAAAAGAAACGGAAACAACACCACCAGTGATTTCAGCTGCCAATGACCTGAAATACAAAAAGTGGAAAAACAGTAAAAGTGACTTTGTGAAGATAAATAGGATAGGTTTGATATTTATAGGAAATGAATGATGTTTGATATGAATAAAAAAGATGAGATTAAGATAAGAGAATTCGATCTAAGGGTTGAGATGAAGATAAGATAATGTAATTCAACGAAGATCAAATTCTATTATGTCGTATCTTAAATTGTCGACAAAAACGTGAAAAATATGAGAAGCGACAACGTGAATAAAAAAAACATGGTGATTTGCCGAGTCACATGTCAACCAATCCTTCGTCAGACAAACAAACAAATCCCAAAAAAGTGGAAACTGACGCCACGCACTTCGAGGCGTATTTTTCTGACGTGTACCGAACATTCTGTTAAAATGCGCGGTACCGGTGTATCACGCACTTCAACAAAACAGCAGTGAGCCTTTTATATATTGTGGGCCCAAGTTCTAACTTTGGCCCATCAGGTTCTCTGCTTCTTTAAGCCCACTACCTATGTAGGCCAGATCAGCCCTTAAGTTGGGTTCAATGTTATTAATGAAATGCTAATTACCTTTCTCGATTATCTTTCCTTGTACATTACCATGAAACTCAAATTCATTCTTTTTTTTCAAATTCCTGCTCCAAAGATAGTATTAGTATAGTTCAAAGTATGCATGCCTTAATTTAACGAAGAAAACGTGGAATTAAAGCACACATACTCTAAACTATATCACTACTACTTTTGTGGTAGGAAATTTCATAAAAATGATGAATTTGTGTCTCGCTGTGAGAGCAGGCGAAAAAAAGAGGTTATGACGGGCAGCTTATGTGCAATTCTTGCTAGAAAGTTTATTTCACAAAACAAGACAAGGATGAACATCTATGTCTTGAAGAGCATGCCAACATCTACGTGGATTTGTGTCTCATGGGGGTGGTGTTGTGGAGGTATGGACTCATAAATTTTCCTTCTTCGGAGCAAGAAAACCCTAATATCAAATGAATAATAATGAAGATAAATATAAACATATCCATACACAAATAGTATGAAACACAAAATTTACACTTTGTACCTAATTTCTCTATTGCAAGGCATAAAGAGAGAATGGGAATAGTGAGCGGAAAGAACAAGAAGAATTTTTCCCCATTAAAAAATAGTTGGAGTCTTTTCTCTCTTTTTTTTTAGTAACAGGCCCAAAATAACATCATTGTATCTTAAAAAACCAATTGTTCAAGCCCAACTGCAGCATAAGTCAATTCCCTTGCCCCTTTTGTCCTGCAGCCTTTTTTGAGTCATTTTATCAAACAACTTGCCCCATTTCAACACAAGATTTCATCGCAACTTGAAACCTTCATGGGTATAGAAGTGGAGGCTAGTGCCTTCACTGACAATTTTTCTGCAAACCGACTTTGGCCTCGATATATTCATTCATACTTGTGTTTTATCTTCAATTTAGGGATGATCATGATTCGTTTTTCTGTCAACAACATGAATTTGAAGACAAAATAGGTTATTGGATCCAAGGTCATTCACAAGCATGAATTTTTGATGCCATACGCATCAATCGCTAGGCCGTGTAATTTGACATACCAAAAACTACGGATATCAATATAACAACAACTTGCAAAATATGGCAGAGATTTTGGGTAAAACAAACGTTTAATATCACTAAAGAAAAATTAATACGCAAACACAATTGTTTATATGAAAAAACATACATGATTCAAAACCCGAACAGAGTCAAGATGAATTTAATTTATAGGTTTTTTGAGTAGTGTATGTATGTAGTATGAAATTGACCTCGAATGCTTTTTTATATAGGCAATTGAAAATTACGAATACAATTCCTTTACTTTTTATAAAAGTGATTATATTCCCTAAAAGAATAGAATTACGGAAACAATTACCAATTAGTTTAGATTCTACTTTCATCTTCTTCGAGAGCATTTTTGCTCACCACTGTAACTCAAAGTGTACCATCACCATCATTCTCAACACTTAACATGTGTCCATGAGCGTAACTATGGTTCCATAAATACAAAGTAAAGAATTAACTGTTGGCTAGGTCCATGGACACATGTTTAGTGTTGAGAAAGGTGGTGATAATACACCTTGGGTTAAAGTGGTGAGCAAAAGTATTTCCATCTTCTTCTTAGCTTGTCCCCTTTGCCTCGAAATAAGATTATATAACGTTACTATAACATGATTGACATGTTAGTACGTATCACCATGTCAATTGTAATTAAGTTTATAAATAATGCTAGTTAATAATTGATTACATGTTAGAAATTTATTGGTCGTATCATCACGTAATGGTACCACTCAATAATTTCTCATCAAGATGGATTTAAAATCTTAAAAAGTCCTCCAAGAAAAAATAAATATTGTACCCAAAGAAAAAGGAAAAAAATTAAATAGAAAATAAGAAGGTATGAGAATATGAGACTAACCTGTGTGTGTAGCAGAGAAGTGAGACCAGGTGTCTGTGTGTGTTTGTTTTTCTTTTGAAAATAAGCCAAGACAGAAAAAGAAATAGACAAAACAACAAAAAGCAAGAAAATTATGGCGATCCACTTTCCAAAGTAAGAGGAGGGAGGGTCCTAGAAGAAGAATTAGGACCATTTTTCTATAGAAAAAAGAGAAATCAAAACTGTCAAAGATGCCACCACTTCCTTCAACGAGGCTCTCTTACCCTCTAAACTCTCCACTTTTCTACATTCTTCCATCCACCTCTCTCTTCCCAAACCTCATCATCACCACCACCGCCACAAGAACAAATTTTTAATCCCCACCATGTCCTTCTCCTCCTCTTCTCCATCATCCCCTTCACCTTCTTCAATTTCCAACCCTAAAGAGCCAGAACACCCACGAGACCCAGAAGACCAGGAGCTCCTTTTGCAGCAGGTCCTCAAGTACCACAACCAGACCAAGCATCATTTCACCAAATACGCCAGAGGCCCTCATGGCCTCGACTGGGCCAACCAGCCCAACCCCTTTCGCAGGTACGTCGCTGCTCCTCTCTTACCTCTCCTGCACTTCCCTACAGAGAATCAAAACCCAAACTCTTCTTCCACTCAAGACCCTCTGTATTCTTCTCTGTTCCTGAATCTCCCTCCTCCAAAACCCATATCCAAATCCACCATTTCTCAGTTTTTCTACGATTCTTTAGCTCTCTCAGCTTGGAAAACCACTGGGTTTTCAACCTGGTCGCTTAGAGTCAATCCCAGCAGTGGTAATTTACACCCTACTGAGGTCTATATCATTTCACCCCCAATAGAATCGTTGTCTGATTCGAGTTTCGTAGCGCATTACGCTCCAAAAGAGCATGCTTTGGAGCTTAGAGCTGAAATTCCATCTTGGGTTTTCACCAATTTCTTACCCAAGGACTCGTTTCTCATTGGGTTGTCATCGATTTTTTGGCGCGAGGCCTGGAAATATGGAGAGCGCGCATTTCGGTATTGCAATCACGATGTGGGTCACGCTATTGCTGCGGTTTCCATGGCCGCAGCAGGGCTTGGTTGGGATGTGAAGCTTCTTGATGGATTGGGTTATGAGGATTTGGAGAAGCTAATGGGGCTTGAAGTGTTCCCAAAATTTCAAATTCCCTCTCGACCTGTTAAAGGGCGGTTTCCCGAGTTGGAATTTGAGCATCCGGATTGTATTCTTGTGGTTTTTCCTAATGGGGCTGGTGAATTTGATGTGAACTATAAGCAATTGAGTTTGGCAATATCTGAGTTTTCCAAATTGGAGTGGAAGGGAAAGCCAAATTTGCTTAGTAAAGAGCACATTTGTTGGGATATAATATATAGAACAGCAGAGGCTGTGAAAAAAGAGATAAGTTTAGGTGACACGTTTTTGGTTGATCCATTTCAGAGTAGTGGGATTTGTAGTGAAGGTTCATATAAGGGTTTTACAGCTAGGGAAGTTGTTAGGAAGCGTAGGAGTGCAGTTGATATGGATGGAGTTACTGCAATGGATAGAAACACATTTTATCAGATTCTTTTGCATTGTCTTCCTTCGGGTTCTCGAAATGGAGGGAAGCAGAAGAAGCCGTTGGCATTGCCATTTAGGGGTCTTCCATGGGATGCTGAGGTCCATGCTGCTTTATTTGTTCATAGGGTGGAAGGGTTGCCACAGGGTTTATATTTCTTGGTTAGGAATGAAGAACATTTGGATAAGCTCAAGAAATCCATGAGGTCAGGCTTTAAGTGGGTGAAGCCAGAGGGTTGCCCAGAAAACCTTCCTCTGTATGAACTTGATAGAACTGACTGTCGTACTCTCGCTGAAAGGCTCTCGTGCCATCAGGTATGTCAAAATGTAAATGGTAATTTTATTAATTTTCATATATAAATGGAATTGCTTAAAACTGGATGGCATATGAAAGCAATTGTGAGGTAGATACTGAACAATGCATGTGATTGTGAACATTTAGACTTTGATAGAATATTGCAGATGGAGGAAGAAAAAAAAAGGCTCATTCTTTTATTTTAGCATATTAGGGGAAGAATGTTTATATATCTTTTGCTGCATTTGAAGGTACTGTACAATATTTTCAAACTTATTTCATACATGATGCCAAAATGTGTTATTTTTGCAATAAAATCTGCAAGTCGCATGTTACAAATAAGTGTCATACAAATATGTCGGAATGTAATTCTCAAAGTCTGAGTTGTTTCTCTGGCTACTAATATATCTTGACATCAAATGAAAAACCCCTTTACCCAAATCCTCAATTAGGTCCTCTACTTTG